TTATTTTGATTAAAACCTCAGAAGAATAGTGAAGAACAAGGAGAAAATAAAGGGGGAAAAAGAAAGAAAATAATGGTGTGTAGAAGGAAAAGGAAAAATCTTAATCAATGTGAAATTACATTAAAGTTTTAAGTTTTAGTGCAATGACTCAAGTGAACTTCATGTTTTGAATTCAAGTTTCCAATTTTTAGTACCAAGTAGTCAAGTTATATAGATAAAAGTAGTTATGCTGTTCAACAACCTACTTGAATACATGATAAACTAGTACAAACTTTTATGTGTTTCAAAGGTTTTCTTGGATGTTAGGTTGTTGTTAAATCTTTTACTATATGTGCCATTTTACATCCTTCACGTTGTCAATTTTGTTTTATGTGGCATGAGGAAGACTTACCACTATGGAAGTGGAATAAAACTCTTGCTCTGTTAATAAATGTAAATTTTTTATGCTTACAACAATCTTATTCATCTGTAAGGTACATCTTGGAGTCTCCTTGCTTTGAATTGTTCTTCAAGTTTGTTGAGCTGCCTAACTTTGATGTTGCATCTGATGCATTTTCTACCTTTAAGGTCATATTTTTTCTGGACTATTGATGTATGTAACTTTTGTCATTCATTCTTAGAGCTGCTTCTTAAAATGTGCTCGATATTTCACAGGATTTACTCACCAAACATGCACCTGCAGTCTCAGAGTTTCTAACAGCTCACTATGATGAGGTGTGTCAAATCCTTCTCGGCATAAAATTTAGAGATTATGCCATATGTTGTTAGTATAGAATGGGATTGCATTGACATGGTGCATACAGTAAAGAGTTCTCTCCTTGGTGTCATTATAACTTTATTCACCATACAGTTTTTTGTTTTAAAAACTGAATTGGAGTTGTTTTTCCAGTTCTTTGAGCAGTATGAAAAACTCTTGTCGTCTTCCAACTATGTGACAAGGAGGCAGTCACTGAAGGTCAGCTGGTCTGCATTATTGTGGCTGTATTTTTTTTACTTTTCTAAAGCTGCTGATTTATCTCTTTTTGACTTTCAGCTTCTGTCAGAATTTCTATTAGAACCTCCCAATTCCCATATAATGAAGCGTTATATTGCTGAAGTTCGACATTTGAAAATCATGATGACATTGCTCAAGGTATTGTATTCTCTTTAAAACATTTAAACAATGCATCTCCTTGTTTTTTTAAACGAAATACTGTGTATGGCCTTTGAATAATGAGACTTAATATGCTTTCTATGTATTTCATTCATGCCTTTCTTAGGTGCTCCAAACTGCGAATTCATTTATTGACGATCTTTGTTTTTTACAACCAAGCCTTCCATTTCTATCTCATGAATGAATAATTGTGCAGGATTCAAGCAAAAATATCCAGATATCTGCTTTCCACATTTTTAAGGTGATGAGTTCTTGCCCTTCTTTGGGTATGGAAGTTTTGGAGGCCCAACTGAAAGTTCACATTTAGAATCTGCTTTGAATTTACATTTTAGGGCATGTTTTTTTACAGCTTATTACCGGAAAGATCCATAAAATTGATATTGGCTTGTTCCCCAAAGAAGTAAAGGTCTTTTTTATTTAATGTGGTTGGGCTTATAGTTGATTAAGTTTTCTCCATGTACCTTCTCTAGGTCTTTGTGGCTAACCCTAACAAGCCTAAAGAAATAAAAGTGATTCTGGCAAAAAACCACGAAAGATTATTGGAATTGCTACACAGCCTCTCCACCGGAAAAGGTACGTTACGTAGGCAAGTTTAGAGTTAACGAGTCATTTTCACATGAAGAGCCTGTTGGCACCTCTTTAACATTTACACGATTTCCCGCTCTTGTTAATCCCCGACCTAACATACAAATGCAGGGGGTGAAGAAGATGATCAGTTTGAAGAAGAAAAGGAGTTGATAATCAAAGAAATAGAAAAAGTAGCTCAGTTGCCCAACCTGGGAACTTAGTGCGCATGGCATTTGATCTTTTATTATTTTTTGAAGTATGAAGAAGCGAAGGGAGTGTGGACTTCATCATCTGTGTCATTTATTTACTTATATTGTAAATGATCAGAGTCTGCATCCTGATTTGTATGCAATTGCCTGTTGTAAGCTTGATGGACCAAAAACACGTACATATAATTGACCGAAAAGTTATTTATTGCTACTGTAGTTTTTTTTTTTTGTTAGAACCTTTTTTTATCTATAGTTTTGTCACTTGTGATGAAATTTCATAAAAATGAATTTGATTTTGGCTGTACAATGAATTTGGTTTTGAACTGAAAACATTTTTAAATTTTGCTTCATTTTGCTTAATGTGGTAAACATTTGTAACGAAAAATTATTATGATGATCGTGTTTTTGATGGAAGGTGAACTTTCTCTTGTTAGGTGTTAATTAGAACGAACAAATACTTCACTAGTTTAAAAAAATAAATATGGACAAATACTAGCATTATAATAAAATCAATAGTATTAAAGAAAATATATTAAGGAAATGATAAATTTCCTATCATTTCTTAATACATTCTGTGAACAAGTCCATGTTAAATGATAAGTTCAAGTCTATAAAACAACTTTGCCACCACATTTTGTACCATCGTTTCTCATTCATCCACACGAATATCTACGTGCGCACAAAACAAGACATCGATGAGAATAAGAAAAATGAGGTCAATACGTGTCTGTGCAAACTTAGTGTAAAAAGTCGGTCGTATACATACAGTATTATTGTTGAGTATTAGCATAATAATTTGCAATAACACTGGGTAAACTTTAAATATTCTGCCGAACCAATACAAACGTAGAATCCAAGCAAGAGTGCGCTTAGGCAACATCTTATTAACCAAGTCAAGGAATAAAGAGCATCATATACATATATGTTGCATATACACCACATTACACATAAAAGGGAAATTTAAAATGATCCAAAGGATGGATGGATTTTGGGCATCAACTTGCCAATTAGTAGCAGCACGATTAGTTTTCCCCTTGCTTCAGCATCCGCAGAATGGTGAGGAAGAGATTAAGAACATCTAGATACAAAGTGACAGATGCCCATATGTACTCATCATATGTGAAGCGCTTGATCAAGTTCTCCGTGTCATACACAATGTACCCGCAGAAAATTATAGCACTGATGGCACTGTAGATAGCGGCCGATGTAGACCCAAAAGGGAAGAACATCTGCATGATTGTCACTCCAAACATTTGAATATATATGCACAGCAACTCAAGAACATTAGAGTTGAAAAATATGAGAGCAGGGATATATGAAATACTCCACCTGGATGAAGCCAGTCAAAACAAGCACAAAAAGGCTGGTGAACAAGATTGGTCCCAGGAAGCTAAAGTCCTTGCCCTTCCTAGCAGCCCAGAATGTGTACCCAGTCAAAGCTGAAACTACAGCCGATGTCATGATCAAAGCCTCAAGTACAATCCTTCCTGGTGATCGAAATAATGTCAAACTATTTCCCACTAAAGCAATGAAACATGTCATTTTGGAATGGGTGTAAGAACAAGTACCGACCGTCTGTATTGGCACAGCTCATTCCAACCGTAAGACTAAGAGATGCGGTGAAAAGTCCAAGGAAAATAAAATTCAGCGGATGCTTCTGCTGATACACATGCAGGGGCCACAAGACTGCAATTTTCAAAAAACCCATTGACACATTTATGAAGCATCATAGGTGTCTGTCTATAGGAGACCAGAAAATTGAGCGTATGCACATAATACGAAATGCAGCTATACAGATTTCATACAAAGAGACTCAAATGCATCATAATCACAAGGCGGCTTGCGACAAGAAATCAATTACAAATAAATCGCGAATGAACGTTATGATGGATAATTGAAATGTGTGCAATACAGAAAGAAAATGGCATGGACATAAATCAGCAATTCAACTATGATCCTTCTAGATCAAGGAGAAAATCAGGAAGACAACAACGAATATCAAAATGATCATGATTCACAATCCAATATAGCATGACATTCGAAGAATATAGCAGTGATATCAGAGGACATCAGATCTAGGGTCTGAGAAAGGGAGATAGAGGAAATTACGGATGAAGGGGAGGAAGATGAAGAAGAGGAGAAGGCCGGAATTGGTCCTCAGGAGCTCGTTGACGGGGGCGCAGAAGACGGTGACGGCAGAGACGAGGGTGGTAACGAGGATCTGAGCGGCAAGAATGCCGTAGACTTTTCGGATGAAGGCCCATCTCAGAAGATTCTCTCCGTAGCCAAGCCCCGGGTGCAAAGTCCCTTCCTCGATATCACCTTTCGTCGTCCCCCCTACAGCACCGTCGCCGCCGCGGCTCAGCCTCTCGAACCCAAGCATCTTCTTCCCTTTTTTTCCGGTTCTGATTTACAACAGCTCTGCGATGCCGTTTACGGGTGGTATATGTTGCCGGGGTAGTCTTGAGGTTCACGTCGTAGGCGTCATCCTGAGTCACTGGCAGGAGGGGCCGACACCGTTTCAAAGATAAATTAAAGGACCGGAGGGTAATTTTACTTTCAGTTCAACTTAATTACTCCTATTATTTACGGGGTAGTTTATTACTCGGTATTCATTTTTATTAAAAAGAGATCAAATATAATTTTAAATATAATTATAATCAGATCAGACCAACGGGATGCCGCTTTAGTATTTTCCCTCTACAAATTATATTCTCATTTAACTTTTCATAATTTTGAATGCAATATTTTGATTATTAATATTGTTATTTATGTATAATTACATACCATAGAAATAAAATATTTCAAAACGACGTAAATTTCAAAATCAATCTATTGTTATTAAATTTATAAAATAAAAATTTAATTTATTTTTTCGTAATATGCAGTTAAAGTTTAAAAAATTTGACCACAAAAATCAAAATGAGAAACTAATTTGTGGATGGAGGGAGTATATTTTTTTAGAGGGGAAAAAAATTAAAATAGAATTAAAATATAAAGAGGCAAAATACTTCTTATAACTTTCATATTTTTATTCTAAATTTGAATCTATAATATCAATAATGCCAATATATAATCTCAAAAAAAATTGTAAAGTACCAATATACAGTGACACATTATCACAGTGTAACGATTTTATTTCAAGATAAAAACATACTCCGGTATCACTTATTCTAAGAATACAGTCTGTTTTGTTCTTTATTTTAGGTGCTTTCTTGTTTTTAATAAAAAAAAATCAACCTATTGAAATAATACTAAAAAAGTTTATTACACTAATATCTCATTTGATTTGATAAATGTATATTTTTATCTCCCGTATTTCTAAAATTTACTTTGTTCTCCCTACATTTTTCGAAATCTTACATCAATACCGATAAAGTATTAGATTTATTATTTAAACAATGTGTAACAAACACGCTTGACATGCGATAAAATTAATTTTTCATGTTTTTGAACTTAAATGTATAAAATTAATTTTTCATGTTTTTGAACTTAAATGGACAATTACGCTCTGTTAGTACTCATACATTTAACTTAGCATTTCTTTGAGAACTACATCTCTTTGAAAAGAAAATAGAAAAGGAAAAAAGATTGAAAAATTATGGAGTAAAAGCTTTTGTGGAGATTGTAATGAGCTGTGTGAGATCAGAATCGTTGAGGACAAATATTACGTTTTGTGGGAAAGATAAAGAGAACAGGTGCTCCAAATTCAAATTTCAATTTAAAGTGCCAAAAGGAAAAAGAAAGTGTTTTTATTGATGATTTGTGAAGTTTGCAAAGCTCTATCCATAGTACCATGCACCTCAAAACATACAAAAAAAGACCATTGATTATATTTATTCCTAATAAACATTCCTCAAAGGAAGGTCTTTCTACTTTTTTTAAAAAAAAAAATTGAGGATGAATCCCACCCCTAGTTGAAGAGGTTCCTAAAGAAGTACTACGCTTAATCAACCAGCCTCGGACCTATCATTACTCCCCTCCCGGAAACACGACTTGCCCTCAAAGTTGCAACTTAACCACCTGCTTGATTTGATCCTTGTTGAATTTTTCATGAAGGACGTGGTTCCTTCGGGTTAAAACATTGGAACGGGGATGGTGAAGGGCTTGTTGTTGGTGGGTGGAGGTGGAGGGTGATGAAGCCAAAGCCACAACCCGGTTGGGCAACAAAGGTGGTGGTTGCCGCTGGTTGTTCCTCCTGGGTGCAGGCAGGGGTAGGGTAATATTAGGTGTGAATCTAGCGTTACCGAAGAATGGCTTTGGCCAAGTGATGAAAAGTTGCAGGTCAAATAAAGAGCCGTGTGGGCAAGGTGACTGCAGCAATCAAGCCAACAAGTATGCATAAGGAAATGCAGTTTACGACAGGAGATGATGAATTTGCTGACAAGAAGATTTTGTGTGCTTTGATGTCTCCTCGAAAGCCTCTCACAATCATTGCCTGAAAACACAACACACAATTACTATTTTTTTTCCATTCAGGAGAAAGCAATAACCTTCCCATATTACACAGATTTATGTCATATTTGATTTCTGAAGCATTTATTTAAACAAAAACCAACAGCCTGCACTTCTAAACACTTGAACTATGGTATCGTGTGCATCAAAAAGCATTGCACCCATTATACAGTCATTTCATTCCTTTATCAAGTAGAGAAGAATTTTCACTGAAGAACACATATTTTATAGTTTTACTAGATGCCAAAGAATCTTCAGAAAAACTTCAGGCTTGGGTTTCGGAGGAGGGTGTTATCAAATTTAAAAGAACAAATTTAAAAGTAACGCATACCTGAGATATCTGCTCTCCATGGGCAAAAATATTCTTGAATATCCGACGAATGTATGCGACAAATACTGCAATGAAATTGAAACATATTTTAGATACCAGAAATTTAAAAAAGCATTGACCAATTGGCAAGGAGTCTTTCAATCCAATAAAAAAAGTTGATAATTAATCCTAACTAGTTGATAATCATCTTGAATCTTGCAATAAAGAAATGGCTATTGAGATGAAATTCTAAAACCATCATCATGGGAGTGATAGATTATATCTACTTGCATGAAAAATATAAATTGAGATATTTGCTATTGGCATTTTCATTCCGAAGGAAAAATGTATAAAATTCGAATACTATCATCATCATATTTTTTTAGTTGCATGGAAAATATCATTGATCATGATAAAGTGAAAAGGTCCCATTAAAAGATTGATTTTATAAAATCAATGCAGACCTCATGGAACATGACCATGGAGTTAAATAAATGTTACCATAAGTAATTTCTTGGCAGGTCATACTAACCATCAATGGTCTCGAAAGTAGTCAGCTGCTCCCAATTTATCCTTCGGGATACGATCCCAAGAGCAATGTTACGAACCTGTTAAGCTTAAGTGTTATACTCCAAGAATAAGTTTGCCCTTTGTCCCACTATTTTTGTCCCTTTTTTGTGTGTCACACTATTTGTCTCATGCAATATTTGGTCATATTATGCAGTTTAAATTCATTCTCACTTTATCTCACCTTTCCATCAATATCAAGTACACAATACTATTTTTCTTAATCCTCGTACCAGTCCCTCATGTCCCAAAAATGAGACGAAGGGAGTGTTTGGAATGTGGCAGCCCTGAAAAGCAATCTTATAGCTTGTCCTACACTTTTAAGGATAAACTTGTCCATTTTATTATAAAAAGGGGGTGGATTTGGCTAAAAGGGGTGGGGATTTATCACCATCCTATTAATATTACCATTTTTAACATATGTTTTCTCTCTGTTCAGCCACATCTTTTCTCTTTACAGTAATATCTGCAACTTTTTCTTTTGCTTTCTCTTGTTTCTCTCTATCTTATTAAGTTTTACAGGTTTAGTAGTTTGGGACTTATGAGACACCTATAGTACAAAATAAAGTGTAAATATCTTATTCTAAATTGACAAAGAAAATATAGATCAAATAATTGACAATTGCTTTCATGTTATAAGAGAAGTAAAAGATTTCAGTTTAAGTTTTATCTATTAAAAACTGTTTGAGTCATTTTTTATTTACTCCCTCCGTTCTTACAGATATTTGTCAAATTCCATTGTGATAGAAATTAGAATGGCTTTTAACTTTTAAAATAGAGAGTTCCTTTTGAAGAAAGAGCATCGGTTTGCTGTGCAAATTGCAGTTATTGGTACACATACATAACTGCTTCTGAGTGTTTTGACATGAAAATGAGGAAATTTTTCGCACCTCATCAAAAACTATATTTATAAATCTCAAAGAGAGCAGAAGTGTAAGGATGACTTCTGCTACAGGAAGACCAAGTTTATCCAAAGGGCGTAAAAACCATTGCAGCGCAAATGATATCTGCTCCGGAGTTGTAGTTGACAGGTAAAGGCTTGCACTTTGAAACACCTGGCGATCAAAAGAGAGTAGCCTGGTAATAAATACAGGTAAATGAGGTAATAATTTATAGGACATATTTACATTTAGATTCACAATTTGAAGCTTTATTGCAATCTTTGGTTAGTTTTAGGTGGATATATGTCGTCAAAGTAAAAAAACCCGGTAATAGTGCATATTACCTACAGCAGAGAATGTAAAGGATGCATGCTGATTCATTAATGGCTATGGTAATATGCTTCATTTTCATATTTTACATAGAACTAGCAACTGCATCAATACCAGACAACTAATAAGTATATTATAAAGGTAAAGGGAGGGTGAGATCCCACTCACCGTGAAGGTTAAACATGCTGATGTGGTTGCCGTTAGTAATCCCTTTCTAGTAATCTGTAGTGGTCCCATTTTTAAAACTACATACGAATAACCTTTCAAAGATGCTGGAAAATTTGGTATCCCCATCACTGAAGGTGGAGGCGTTCTTGAATAGACAAGGGAAGGTGCAGAGTCTGTGCTTAGAGCCAACATTATAAACAGAACCCCAGACAGCAGTGATACTCTTCCTAGTTGATCCTATCAAAACATGATACGTTACAGACAAGGAGATCTTTCCAGCATTAAAAAACTGATAGGACAAAATAACTAAGGGTGTATTTTTCTATGTTGGTGCTTATTGGCTTATTGCTGATAATCAGTTTTTAACTTATAAGCTGCATATAAGCCAAATATTATTTCATGGAAGTAAAATGACTTAAATGATAGATAAGTCATTTGAAAATATTCATAAATGGTGTGGGACAGTTTTCTAAATAATCTGGTCAAAACGGAAAAACAAAAAAACTGACTTAAAAATAAGTAGGTAAGACCTACTTATTTTTCAGACTTAGCAGCTTAGACCATGTGTTATGGCGGGCTTGACGGGGGTTTGATAGAATATAAAGAGATATGACGTGGAGTGATAGAAACATGTGTGTTGTGGGGCTTGAATGAGGGGTGTGAAGATGTGAATTATTTTGATTGGTTGAAATTAAAAAAGAAGAAGAAGAAAGCAAAGGGTCAAGCCCGGATGGCTATCACGGAAAAGGGGCCACGCCCATCCAAAGAAATGCTGGTGCGGTTTAACGGCGGGAAGGAGGCATGAGGGAGGTAGTGACGCCATCCCTCACGCATGATAACGGATGACCTTATAAGCACGGAGAAACATGTCATCAGCTGACTTATAAGTTAAAAACTGCTTATAAACAATTTTGATCAGCTTATAAGCATATAGAAACACCCACTAAATCAGAATTCCGCCAATAATTCTAGGGGTTTCATTGTCTTGTTTTGCTGTGGTACTTATACAGCAAACTTATTACATAGAGCTTTCAAACGTCAACTTACCTTCCATACTTCTGTAGGTTGGATCTGTATGGATAATATAGCCAAGTAGACAACGAAACCAAGACGCAGAGCAATACCTGACCTTGCTGGTAAAATAACTAGAGCAAGTAGCCACGTCTGCATATAAGATACCACCAATCAGAACTGTGATGTAACTTTTGAAGGGAACTTTCTCCTACCACTTCACCAATTACATATTGACTCTTGCACCGAAATTCCTGGAAAAGTAGTGAAGTCTTTCCTGTCTTATTCATTTCTTTTTACTGCCTCTTGCAGTAAGAAAACATTAGAGAAGCCTGAATATTTATGGACCGAATAAGTATTCCTTCTGAAATTCACAATATATGCGCCGCTTTATCATGACAGACACTCATTTTGTTTTACAACAACAAAAAACCAAGTATGATCCCACAAAGTGGGGGTATGGGAAGGGTGCGTGCACATAGACCTCACCCCTACATAGAGGGTAGAGAGGCAAACTGTTAAAACAACAACAACAAACCCAGACTCATTTTGTTTTACATACAGCTAAAAGTGGACACCGAGGTTAACCCCAAAAGCTAGTTCGAGATATGAGGGACTCTCATGATCATTCAAAGGAGCAATCTTTAGTACAGTTCAAAACAAGAAAAGACCATTCATTATCTTAGTGACAACGCTAATAAATAAAAAAAAAGGTTAGAACTGTATACCAATTTGATTCTGGGGTCAGTAGAGTGCAAGAAAGTGGCAGGGGAAGGGATGTACTGAGCAATGGGACTAGAGGTCGCTCCAGCTATGAGTCTAAACACCTTCTCTGCTCCAAGAATGTTTTGGGGGGACAATTTTTCCAGAAATTGTTTCCAGTGTTCTTGCGGACCTTCTTCAAGATTACTGCTTTTATGGGCGCAGAGAAATGTGGGTTGGTGGTGCGGTAGATGGAGGGTTTGTCTTTTCAGAGGGTTGGGAGAGAATTGGTGCCTGTAGATTGATGGAGTCAAGTGTCTGAAGCCTTGTGGGTGGATAGATGATAGTGGGGCAGTTGGAGAATGATGAATTTGCTGAGAAAACATTGGCGATGTCTGAGGGGGAAAGGATATATGGAATTTGCAGAGTGATCCAAAGACATACAAATTCAGCGAGGCTGGCACAGCCCTTCTCCTTCAAACATATGATTCTTCTCCCACCATTTATTTCTTTCTCAGACATTATGATTCTTACACACTTACAGTCCTTATTAAAACTAGTGCATCACTTGTGTGCGATGCACGGATAAATTAAGTTGTCCACAAATCATAAAATTTATTTAATTTTAAATATAATTACTAACATAAAGATGTGTATTAAGAGTATATTATATTCAATACATGCTGTTATAATGAATTAGAGTAAGCAACGTACGTTTAACATCAGTCATACATTCTCAAAAACTTCCTTATAAATTACTCCCTCCGTCCCAGAAAACATGGGAGTTTTGATTTTGAAGGGGGATTTACGGGGAGTGTATTTTAGTATTGTATTTCCAAAAATGTCCTTTGATGTGATGGGTAAAAGTATGATTTGATGGATAGATTATTAGTAAAAAGATATGATGTGATAGGTAGGGTATGAAAAAGTAAGGGGTAAAAGTGACTTTTTAATAGAAATGAGAAGTGTTTTTTGGGGTCGGATGAAAAAAGAAAGGAGAAAGGTTTTCAGGGACGGAGGGAGTACATTAATTGTAGTATTACATGGAGTATTATCAGGGCTACATTTCATTATTTTTAATCCCTCGCGAGACCGTACTCTAGACATGGCCACATACAGTTTTCTGTTGCTAAAAACAGGTTTTTTCAAGAATAAACCAACATGAAAAAGAGAGTGTTCCTCACTCTTGTTTATGGTCATCGCATGCGATACCATAACTGGAAATTGTCTTTTTTGAAACTTAAATGGCAATCTGGTATCTGATGAAGTCAACGAAACTCACGGTATTAAAATCGTTTGTCCTGCATTTTTTCCATGAATCATCTTTGCATCCAATAGACGGTTATCAAGTCTTGTTACAACTAAATGTGTTCCGTTGCACAGACCATTAGCATGATCAATATTGCGCAAAAACATGATCGGGAAGACGTATTCATATCATATGGCACACATTGAGAAAAAAATAGAATGAATTAAAATAAATTTGAAAAAAAGAAGACCAATACCATCTGACATGCTAAAAGTTATCGGTACATTGCTCAAATTCTCTTCGAATGTTGAAGTTGTTTCAATATGTTTTCTTGATCATCGACACTATTTGATACTGATTGTCCTTCAGTATCTCCTAACAAAAAGTTTAATTAGGAAGAAAATACGAAAAAATTTATATATGATAATTTTTTTATTCTTTTATGAAATGTTTATAGTACAGAAAATTATTACAAACCTTCGATGTTGATATTACTCATATAAACAGTCTAAGGATTTCTAGATGTTGGAGGTTCCGCACAGTTCGTGAACGAATTATTTAGGTTTCTCACAACACAGTGTCTCCCAAATAAGTTATTTGTTTAATAAAAATGGAGTAAATTTTACCCAAATTTCCAAACATATTATAAAATTTAATAACGCTGTTAAGTACTCCCTCCGTCCTAAAACTTTCTTCTCAGAGTACTATTCCAACTTCACGAGAATTTATATTTATTTGTGTTTTTTCATGGCCTATATGATAAAATAAAATATTCTTGTCACCACTTGTTTTGTTGAACTTTTGATATAGTTTTAAAATATGTATGTTTATTTTTTATTTCTATACCAATATTTAAATAAAATAGATTGAAAAAACTTGGAATTTTTCTTCGTTTTGCGCAACGGGAAGAAAGATATAGGACGGAGGGAGTAATAAAATACATGGCGAGAATTACGCATCGTTAATCATTTATCGATTATAGTATAAACACTGTGTATAACGTAATAGCCAACCTTTAAACTTTTCACAGTTATATAACACAAGCACTTTTATAAAATTATTTAGAGTAGTCTGTTGAATTTCTTGTTTAGCCAGTTTTGATTTTTTTTGCAGTGTAACATGTGCCGTACGATCAACTAAATCAACACAACAAAAAAGAAATTATATTTTCATAGTTTTTGGAACTGCATATTTTATATAAACACAGCTAGAAAGTAAAATAATATGCATACTTATAAAAGATACTCCCTCCGTTTTTCAAAACGGTTCCTTTTTTACTTTGGAGAAAAATAAGGAATTGTTAAATTATACGGAGTAGTTGACATTACAATTTTGCCCTTGATGTGATGGGTAAAAGTAAGATGTGATAGTTTAGTTGTTAGTGAAAAAATATGATGTGATAGGTAGGGTTGAAAAAGTAGGGGTAAAAGTGGTGTTTAATAGAAAAGGGAAATGTTTTAAGAAAAAAACAAAAAATGAAAGAGAAAGGGTTTTAAGAAACGGAGTGAGTATAATGTAATACTACGTAATATACAGGTATCATTTCTTATGTCTCTCAAGTGATTTATTTGAACATGAGAACTTTGTGGCTGTGATAAAATTAACGGATCGTGAATCTGGGAGGAACACACTTGCGTCGTATCATGAACATCACTACCTGTTTGAATATTGTCATTTAGTAAAAAAGACAATTATAAAAAACACAATCTTCCAAAAACAATTAGTGATTATGTTTTATACAAATTAAAAATTATATTAAGAAATTGAATGTTTAAAATTTAATGTGCTTTATTTTCCATTAAACCCAAAACCAATATCTCCAGCGCAGCCCATCTTATACTCTCATCTTCTTCTCCCTCTAGAACATTATCTCCGCCGCTGCTTTCCTGTGTTTCTTCTTCCGGATACTATGTCTCATAGTTTTATCTCTTCCAACAAAATTTAATCTTCTTTGCCTTAGACATCGAAGGAGTTGACCTCTTTTTTATATTACTCCTTCGTTTTGGGTGGTTGTTTTTGTATGGATCTATTTCTCCTTGTTCCTAATTTTCTGGTATTTTTTGTATTTGTTTGGGTTATTCTTAGATGTCCCGTATAATCTATTTCATCTTATTTACGTGTTTTTGATCGGCGGTCTCCGATGATAGACCAATTTTATAGATATAAGGATTTTTAATTTCATATATTAAAATTTTGCATAAATAGTTATAGATATGCAACGCTTAATTTTCAGTTTTGTTTTTTATTGATGATTTTGTGGAAGTTGGGGTTCTTACATTTCCTCTATGTTTTTAATTAGATCTGTCTGGGAAGATGTTCTCTTCCTCGATCGGATTCAGAAAAGGTGTTAACAAAGGGAGTTTATATATTTTATTTTATTATATTTGTTAATCTAAATCTGGCTACCATTAAATTTAACATACTGGGATTTTTTTGCTGGGTCATAAAATTTCTTGATACATTATAACAACAGTATTTGTATCTCTGTAAATTTAATAACCTGATTTTTTTTAATTTCTATATACCCTACTGCTTTAATATCTATCCATTTCAACTGAATCTGAAAAAAGCCATTTAGTTTCTAAATATTTCTAAATATTCTCTGATTTTTCAATTATTATTGATGTTACCAGATACAACCTTTATACATCAAAACTTGGAATGTAATATAGTATTTTTTTTTTAAAAATATGTTTAAGTATTATTTGTTCTGCCTGGTTTATGTGTATTCTGATCTCAATGGTTAAAAGTTAGATAATCTACCATAAAGATAATACTTTTATTTCTTACAGGAGGAATTTTATTTAAATGAAGTGAAGTACATCACGTAAGTTATTTCATATACATATCATACATTTATTTTAACTATAATGTGTCTTAAAAAAATCATAGCGTAACTAAAAATCTGAATTGTTATTCTTGATATTTCAGGTTTGTTCTTTTGTTAAGAAACTGCTTGAGATGCAAGTAAGTATAATTATAAATTACTGTATTTCATTAATTGGAAAATAATTGTTTTACTTAATATATCAAGTAACAGTTACTTTTTTCATGTCTCCCAGAAATCTATAATGCAATGAGGTCAGGGCAAGTAAGTAAGTTTGCACTATTAATTTTATCAAGTACTTAAATTACTTAATATACATGTTTGGAATGAGAAGTGCAGGAAGAAAGACATATTTTTCTCTAATATGTTAAATTTAATTTTCGTGAGTTCAGGACATACTAAATGCATATTTCACTTCTTCACAGTAATCTTTTCAATATAATACCAAATGAACTGTGTTTACCAAATTAGCAGGTTAAAAATAATAAGACTGTGAAATGAAGTGTGTTCACCTGTGTTTGTATGAAGTCTCCATCTTTTCCCTATGTGTTTGCAACTGGAGAATGAGCTATTCATTTGATTGTATCAATTTTATATGCAAGGAATATAAGAAAGAAAGATACTTACTTTATAAATGGAACACCAGTGATAGTTTATATATATATTGAAATGCAGTCCACCTCTGTTAATAATTTAGAAATTCTTGGAAGTTAATGTTAAGGAGTCATTCATGTATGAGACATATCAATGTGTAAATCAAAAAGATTGTCTTGTCATGTATGCCCAGAAACATTGAATTACTTCTAGTTTTGATGGTTTTTTTGTACATTTTTAAAATGAGGGATTTTCTTAAAACATCAAAGCAACTTTAAATGACTGCCATCCTAATATCCCTGTACAGTTGTTCAAAATTTGTTATACTCAGTGATTTTGTGAGGACTTTCAGTGTGAGCTACCATTTTCACTCTGCACACTTGTGCAATTTCAAATATAGATGGTTTTATTTTAGAGTGGTTAAAAGAGTTAAAGAGGGTTTTTTTTTAAACATTTTAAAAGTGCAGATTATTTTTCATGAATTTTTTTCTTAGGTCAGTAGGGGATCACTAAATGAACTGTTTTTGAACACCTAATAGCTTTTTTGAATGTATTCCACAATTTAACTTCATATTACTGCAATCCTCAAATCCATTCCAAGTTGGTTTTAAATTGTCTTAGGGAGTTTGTAGTGTGAAACTGACCGTTTTGGTCTATGCAATTTGTGATGGGTAATTGTCACGCGTTATAGGGACCAAGTTTAAAGCTTTGTCTTGTAATTAAGTGAAGTCATCCTATTTTTGCAGCCATGCTTAATAACTTCGTGTATGAACCTGGATTAATTTGTAGGTTTTAGAGGCTGTGATGATGGTTTTTATTTGATTTGTCAAATTCTGATTACTTCAATTTAAAAAAATTGATACGTAACTTGGCGTGGCTACCTTGCTGGCAGGAGCAGCCATGGTGTTATCATAACCTTGTTCTCAAAATGATTTTATAATCACTGCATATCTGAGCCTCTTTACACAGATTTTGAAAAAAGTTATTTTCCAGGAGATACACACTGCTCTATTTCTGCCCAGATTAAGGCAGTTACACAGTTGCTCGATTTCATTCTCTTTATAAGGCAATGACATACTTTGTGTATGAAGGTGGAGTAATTTTAATACTCCCTCCGTCCCCCTGTATTTGTCCACATTTGACTTTTGGAACTGTTTATCTAAGCACTTTGACTAATCAAATTCTCTCAATGTGTAAGCCTAAATATAGTCATGTGTGATCTTGTTTGATTTGTCTTAACATATAGATTATTAATATATAATTTTTATAATTTTTTAATATACAAATTATAAGATAAAATGGATTAAAGAAGTGCATTGGATGGTGTGCAAAAATGAAAGTGGACAAATAGAGAGGGACGGAGGGAGTAAATAAGAGGCTATGATGATTGGTGTCATATGTTTTCTCATATTGTTTAATGAAAGTAAGGGAAAAATACGTATCCCGGCGTGGCTACGGCCTAGCCAAAGCAGCCATGGGTTGTCGTAAATATTTTCCTCTTAATGAGTATATAAAAAGTGATAATGTGAGCCTCTTTTTATTTCATCATTTGATATTGAAGCAATGCCTGTTTTGAGGTTCGGTAATGAGATATGATTGTGGCAGTGACAGTTCATTTGTTATTACATTTATGAAGTACTTGACTTGGTTTTATATAGTACGGAGTATATGAGATGCGATTTACTGAAATCCCTGCTGTGGGTATATTTATTTTTGTTTAAAAGTTATTGTATATGCTTTTGATGTGTGTAATCCATGGCGTTAACTTTTTTTTCTTCATTGTAATGAGTATATAAATCTGGCAGATTTGAGCCTCTATAGCATTTTGAAATGGGCAGGATCCTGGAATTAAATTTTGCAAAGGAAATATCAATAGGTGACTGTGGATCACCCATGTGCGTAAATCTGAAGATTCAAAGTGGGGTAGTGGCGGTTCATTCTTGAAATGAAATTGGGGTAGTGGCAGTTCATTTATCAGTACATTTGTGGACTACTTGGCTTGATTTTATACATAATAAAAGATGCCATGTACTGAATGAATTTTACATTCTCAGTTTCTTTTTTTTGTCCACAAGTGATTGTAAATTGTAGTATTCTAAGATTTTATATGTAATTGCCACGTGTACCAAGTGAATCAGGGCCTTTGGATGACGGATTCTGGCGGGAAAATTGGGAATTGCAATTGCATGGAATTTCTCATGGGCTTTTATATATATAGTAGAAATGATTTTTCCCTATCGTATTATTATAAATATAAAATATGATATAGTTTTGATATTATAAATTCTTTCCGTTTGCGAGATAAGAAGTGGGAGAGCCTTGGGGTCAGATGAGATTTCTGTGGAGTTTTAGAAGAATGTCTGCCACCAAGGGTTAATTTGGATCACCAAGCTACTTAATGTCGGCCCGGTTCTGTGGCCACTGGATTCCAGTGGCTACGGACGCCACTGCCTCCTACGGACACCTACGGTGCTGAGTATTAGGAAGTTAAAAAAGTCATGTTCATCAATTGCATGTTGCAGAGATGCAGATGCTGTGTTGGATGTTTGGATAAGCATTGATGAATCCGATTCAAAACAAGGTTATTCGAGTAAGAGTGAGTGTGGCACCTGTGGAAGATAAGCTACAAGAAACTAGGCTAACGTGGTTTGGACATGTGAGTCGGAGAAGTGTTGATGCCCTAGTGCGCAGATGCGAGAGGCTTACGTTGGAGGTGGGAATAGGGTAGAGGTAGACCTAAGAAGTATTGGGAGGAGGTGATTTGACATGGCATATGAATTCTTGTCCTTATTGCTGATATGGCCTTAGATATGAGCGTTTAGAAAGCTAGAATTAGGATAGGCAAGCATGCGCTTTTGAATAGGTGATTGCACTTGTTTAGGCGTACCTTGTTTGCTTTGTTGTGTGTTTTGTATGCTTTGTATGCTCTGTGCTTTCTCTACTTTAATGTGTCTTCTGTGCTCTTATATTGTATGTGCGCTACTGGAACTGGGGGTCTCTTGGAAATAGTCTCCTTACTTTCGAGTATGGGCAAGGTCTGCGTACACAAACCCTTCCCAGATCCTACTATTGTGTGATCCAACTAGGTTGTTCTTGTTGATAATTGATATTCTTCTGTATTTATTTAATAATATTGTTAAAAGATAAAATAAAGTATAACTTTGTTATTATATATATTCTCCGTCCCATAAAAAAGTTTCATATTTTCATTTTTACTCATCTCATTCATGTCTCATGGATTCTCTGTAGAATTTTGTCTAGTTTATTGACATTGATACCTGTTTATGCATTAGATGAATTAAAATAACTCATTATTAAGGCTTCATTTACCCGAGAAATAATATAATTTCTCGAGTCTCAGGGAGTGCTGATATTGTACCACCGGTTGTACAGGAACTATAATACAGTCGGGCAATACTCATTTTAGAGTAAAGTAGTACTCATTTTTGCAGAAATCATAAGTGTTTGTTATAGAGTACAAAGAACATTTATTTTCAAATAACGGGTGTTTCCATTTTGAATCAATGTAATGTTCATTTTGAAACAACGTAGTATTCATTTTCACACATTTATTTATTATAGTTATAATATTAATTTACAAATAACGTAGTGTTCATTATGAAACAACATAGTATTTATTCTTGAGTAATGTAGTGTTCATTCTGAAGCAACATACCATTCATACAACCAAACTATTCATGGAGAATCGGAGCCCCTGGTTGTTGCCGCCGTCATCGCCCCTAGCTTTGTTGTCGTCGATATCTCCTTGATACACGTTGTTGAAGCCGCTGATCCCGATTATCTTACTCACCTCCCAATTACTCGTCGCTTCTTGCAATTCTGCGAGGGAGAACTATCTGCCGAATTCGACCGCGATAGTGGTAGTGGAAATCTTTGCGGCAGGAGGCTTGTTGTTGTTGGCCGTGGGATTCGAGTCTCCGGCGTTGTGGAGGGGAAGCAACCACGATGAGAAGTTGTTCTTCCTCACCAAATTGCACGGCCTCTTCCGGAATTTTACGGTGACGACTTCTAACCCTACTCTTGTTGATGTTGATTACACCAACTGTACGGGAAGAACCGTACAACCGGCCGTACGATATAATTTGCTAGTCTCGGGATATGTTTAATAGTATCATGAATCACTTTCCTTGTAAGAAAGAGGACAAAAACTAACGAGTGAAACAAAGCAAAACCATACCACGCATGGGAGATCAGATACATGATAAGTTCACGTTGCATGAAATTTTTAATTCTTTCGAAACTCTGTATTAAAAATTACCATTGTGTTAATTACCATAGTTTTCAATTCCTATTCTAAACTTATGATCGAAGCATTCTTACACTTATTATATCATACAAAGTAAATTTATTTTATGTTTTTAGTATTTAATTATATAAACAAGAGTTTTGTGGCACGAGGTAGGTAAATAAGGGTGTATTAAATAAATTTGAATAGAGTGAAGTGATTGAGTGAATTAGGTTATTCTATTTGATACTCAATGTCAATAAAGATCTTATGTGATACAAATTTTGCCTACTAAGATTAATTTGTAAATTTGCTCGACAATTACATGTGAGATGTTTTAGTTATTTATTCAATAGATGTGAACTAAAATATATTATTCTAGTTTCCTATGTTTTTTTTAAAATAAAATGTGAATTAAGAGAATAGAATAGAATAACCCATTAATGTCGTAATTTCCTATGACTGGTTTTGAGTAACAAAATAGAATAACGCATTAATGTCGTAGAATTAAGAGAGAAAAATCATGCGTACATCATTCTCTCTAAGCATGCGTTACGGTGCACCCAATACACAACCATGTATCCTCCCATGTATTAGATGGCTTCAATCATGATCAAAGCACATGAGTTCATGTGTATACTACTCAAAGGATATATAGTTACATATAGGTTCAAAATGTTGTACGCTCTTCCTATAAAATTAAATTATCTACTTACTATTCACAGTATAAACTTTATTTACTTTATTTCTCTCTTTTCATAACTCATTTGATAAAATAATATTATCATGTCATCTTTTATTTCATAGATTTTTTGTTATAATTTTTAAATATGTAACTTTTATTTTTGAATTTCATCCCAATTTTCAAATAAATTGTAGGTATTAAAAATAACTTCAGTCATGATAAATCAAAACAAGCAATTTAAATTGAGACGGAGAAATATAACACACCATGCAACATTTTCATGGTGGGTCAGTCCACTATATCCAATTATCTTTACAAAACCAATATGTGTAGATGTGATATTAACCATTTCAATGCCCATGAGACACAACTATTACATCAAACACACACTAGTCTCAAATATTGTAACAATATTCTTACTCTCATTAACACTTGACTAGGGTGAGATGTCACTCTCAATAGCATAATCACTTTTTGATCAATCATCACAGATTACAAGTCTAATGACTATAATTATTATATACATTAAAATGAATGGTTGTAAATATAATTATAGATGCCTTTAGTTCATGATAAAACAGAAACATTCATAAAATGATTGGCCACTGCAACATAACTCCAACACAGTGCCTCTGGCCACCCTCCTTCCTGCAGATTCCCTTCCCTTCCGATCATCGTAAATGATAGGCACGATTGAGACTCAATAAAAGACAAAATGATAAAAAAAATCTCTGAAAATATAAATCAACATTGATAAAAGCTCAAAGAGTACAAACGAATCACTAAAATAGGATCCCTTCTCGGCAACATAACCAATTACAATCTAGATATCGTCGAGTTAATCACGTACCATAATAGCCTCCCTTATGAAGCACCCCTCTTCGTCTGACCTAATGGAATTATGCACCCAACCTGGTTTGACAATAACATTAGAGGTTAGCATTAGCACTTTGAAAAAGATATCTCACAATAACATGTGACATTAGCACTTTCAAAATTTATCAACACCATTAAAATTTTATCTAAAACACTGATGTTATTCGAAAACGTTGTTCCCAAACAAGGTCTTTGTCTCTAAACGGGTGAATCTACTTTAGGCGAGATACACTCCAAGCCAGATGGATGAACTAGCTTAAATAATACTCATCAGTATAATGCTCACATCCATTTATTTTCTTCCTACATTCCTTTTTTATCTATCCATACATTTCCTTCTCATTTTTTTTAATGGCAAAAGAAATTGGCTTAAATATCAAATTGGCTCCCTATTCTATAGCTCATAGCCTTACTCTTGCCTTGGTAGCCTCTATAGACTTTCACTTTTGTAATGATTATTCATATGTACAATTCACTTTATTAAACTCTCACTTCATCTACACTTTCTTTTTAAAAAAGCCCGTGCAAATGTGGAAAGTGAATGGCTTTTTCATCTATCACTAAAATGGCTTTTTCAGAGTTCACATATGACTTTTTTCATAATCACCTAGCTTGAAAAAAATTCTTAGACGGAAGGAGTAACTAAGGGGTTGTTTGTTTCAGCCTCTTAATGGTTCAGATGTCTGAATGGTTAAGAGATTTGCCTCTGAATGGTTAAGTATTATACAGAGTCTGAATGGTTAAGACCTCTTATCTGAATTGATCAGACATTTGCCTTTGAATAGTTAAAGCAATATACTAGCTCTTAATGGTTCAGACCTCTTATTGGTTCAGCACTTAATGGTTCAGACCTCTTACTGGTTCAGCACTTACTTATTCAGAAGTTGCCAAACAGCCCCTAAGTAAGCTCAATATAATCAATCTAATTAATTAATATGCATTTAAGTAGATTTCAATATACCCATCAGAAGACAATTATTATCAATCATGACTATATGATGGAATAAAGAATTAAAAGGGATTATTTCTTCCCCCTCGAAGTCAATGAGACACTATACTATCATTGAAGCAACGATTACCTATTAGACGAGTTCTATGTTTGTTCATTTTCACTGTCTCCATCTCCAGCCTCATCTGGATCATCTACATCATTCACATCATCAATGGGTATATCTTCAGAGCTATAGTTAAACGAACCTACCAAATGAAGAAAAAACAGTTTCACAGGTTAGCTCCATCATACGAAAACTTGTTTCTCACTTGGAACAGCAGTGGAAGAAATGAAATTTGCTAGCATTGAAATCAATGTAATCGAACAATGAGAGAGTGTTACTAGATGTCGAGCCTCCAGAAAGCTCCCTTGATCCTGACGTGCCATCAAGAAGATATTCAAGTTCAAGGAGCTGTAGTAAAGCTTCTGTTTGGGGATTTCGGCAGTGTCCTGTGGATGAACAAGACGAACATCAGAATGAATTAGTACAAAAGACTTGACATTTTAAATATCAAAAACTGAACTCCAAACAGTGATATGATTCTTGAGACAGCACGTAGCAAAACTGTATCATTTAGAACAAGGATGACAATCTTAATCCCAACTATGTTGGGGTTGGTGACACTAAAATTATAGTTATTAGTTAATTGTCAACAATTAGCTAACACTTTAAATGCATGTAAAAAAGGCACAGTGGCAAATTTTACACTAGATACCCATCCTGTTGCAACCTTCTAAAGAAGGAGTGGTCTTTCTTTGTTCTAACTATGAACATGATGATTATACATTGTCCAACAACAACAACAACCCAGTTAAATCCCACAAAAGTAGGGTCTGGGGAGGGTGTGTGTACGCAGACCTTGCCCCTACTCGAAAGTAGAGAGGCTGTTTCCAAAGAGATCCCCGGCTCAACGTCGAAAGTTGCATTGCTTGACTAACTGCTACTTCATTAATTAAAGAAGCACATACAGTTTAGAGATCCATTTTGATTTATTCCATCACACCCCAAAGCCAAAAATGGTGAAATTTTGGCTCCATCGGAGATGATGGAAATGTGATTATACATTGTCCATAAAAGTTAATTATATCCCAACCCCACTAACCATTGCTACAAAGACAACAGCAACAACAACCCAGTTGGATCCCACGAGAGTAGGGTTTGAGGGGTGTGTAGGGAGGTTCTTTCCAAGAGACCCCCGACTCAAGTAAACAGATTCCACAAAAACAAAAAAGATACCTGCAAAGAAAGGACAGAGCACAAAAAGCCAAGAACGCACAACAAGCATGGTAAGCATAAAAGCATAAAGCACCAAGCATAAAAAGCACACAGCAACAAATGTGGAAACTACCACCAAGCCCAAAACGTCTATCCAACTACCCTAATCCTAGCTCTCCAAAAATTTCAATCTAAGGTCATATCCTCAGTGATTAGATATGTGGTGATGCAGATCATTACCAGAAAAGGCATCATTAGCAGAAGGCTGACTGGCATTGTGGCAAGGAACAGTGCGCACAAAATTGAAAGGTTTTGCTCCTCTTAGTTTAAGTTTATTCCTTACGAAATTGCGACATTCTCGAATGTCAAATCGTGCATCACTGCAAAGTGAAAACATCATAAGTACCTATCAAATTCCTTTCACAAACCATTTACTTGTCACATCTATAAAACTATTCACCTATAATTTGCACGCCTTTTTGTCAGAGGTAAGATGGAATTAAACTTCCTCGTAATTGCTAACCACTCTTCATCATACTGGAGTTCATGAGGCCCTGGTTCTGACTCTATTTCAATAACCTAAGCTCAAGAGATACCTTATAAGTCAGGATACTGTATTTCAGCAATCCGTGAAAAAATGCAAGTGAACAATGGTGAAAGAAAGTACTTGCAAAAAATTCCGACCAGGGAGGCACTTATCGAGAGAGAGAAATTTGGTGGTTGGACCATCCTCTCCATGTTGAACTAAAGCCGCAAATTTGCAATGTAGATGGGCAGAAAACCAATAGGATGGCCTCAGTAGTTCCAATAATTCTGCAGCAGGTTTACTTCCCAGAGTTCCTTCGCGAATCTGGAAGCATATTTTAGACATTCAGCATATACCGATGTCAGATAAAACTAGCACTGCATGCCCATGCCGACAATCACAAGTTAACAACCTAACAGTATTGTAGAAGTAAACGGAAAAACATAAATACACATCACACATGAATAGAAAAGTACACAGATCTAATACCTCTTTTGGCTAAAAAAAACAAAACGATATTGATTACTAGGTAAAGAAATGGGAGAACAAGAAGTTCATCAGGGGAAAAAGTTATAACAATAAGAGACAAGTTCGGTAAAGAAAGTGGAGGACAAGTAGTTCCTCAAGAGTCAAGCAAATGAATAATAACAACAACAACAATAATAATAATTATAATAATAACAACAACAACAACGAAAACAACACAACATCATCAAACCCAATGCATTCCCTCATGTTGGATCTGGAATAATATTAATAGTGGTGGTGGCAGTGGTAATAAGAGACAAGTAGTATGAAAGAAAACTGTCTTTGAAACATTGAGAGCCAGTCACTCAAGCCACATTCATTAAAGAGAAGTCAGCCCCAATGAATCTGACCTCTTGGATTAGGCATGAACATTGTTGAGTCTAGACACATCTAAAGAGTGAACTAAATTACTCAATTCATTATATTTTACACATCCTCCTTTTTTACCTACCTCTTCCTCGAAAAAAGGTTTTTTACGAAGAAGACTCTTCACGTCTCCATGATCTGTGATACCCACGGGCCAGTCATGTGAAAGGAAGATATCTATTGGTTCTTCAACTTGCTTAAGCTTATGAACATCATATTCACGAACATGATATATGGATCGAATATCTCGCTCATTGTAGGGCAGCTTTTCAAAGTGTCCTGCCATAAAAAAGTTAATCAAGTTATTGTAATTTATCATCACAAAATGTCACACATTTATCAAGGGGTAGTAACTCATGGACATATCTGCAAATCTGCAACAACTTTATCTTCGAATAGAAGACTTAATTTTGCACATAGAGCTAGCAAATAGGTCAGTCAGTTCAGGCTCAGTTCCTTTGGGCTATTTTGGGTTTGGTTAAGTCCGAGTACGGATTGGGAAATGCATGTTCATGACCCAATGTCATCAGCTTCGAGTCGCGTTCATTTTTTTAAATATATATAAATTAATGCTATCACATTTGTTTTGCATAAAAAAATAATAAACATATCAATATATATATGTATGTGTATATATATACTCCGTATATATTAAAGCTATAATAATGTTTTCTTTTGAAATTTTAATTAATTTTGTGTTATATACAAAAATATTAGTATAAATAACAACAAACCAGTTGGATCCCATGAGAGTAGGGTCTGGGGAGGGTATTGCCCATACTCAAAAGTAGAGAGGTTGTTTCCAAGAGACCACACCACCACGGCTCAAGCAACAAAGATAATATAAGATCACAAAGGCACATAAGATAGAGAAGGCACAAAGCACAAAGAGGTTAAAATATTATAATGTAAATAATAAAAAAATGTATAACTTTTGAAAAAAAGTAAGAGAGCCATATACGATCATTAAAACTCATTTGAAAAAATAAGTTTGCACTAAAAAAGAAAAATATAATACCCCCTCTGTCCGCCATAGATCTTCTCGAATACTATTCATAGGATCAAACTTAACTGACTTTGTTTGCTTATTTTTACTACTCATTTCATAAAATAATATAGTCTTGTTAACTCTAGTTTTGTAGAACTTTTCATGTTGTTTTTTGTTATATAAATTTAATTTTTTAAATTTTACCCGTATAATCAAATAAATTGATTTGAAAATAAAGTCGGTCAAACCTCGTAACGCGTAATGAAAAGATCTTAGGTGGATAGAGGGAGTATTATTTTATCGCATTATATTTCATACTAAAGTGCATGATTTTGAAAAAAAAATTAACCTAGCAGGTCAGTTACATCGGGTTTGGGTTTGGACAGGTTTGACTCATTTTTAGCAGGTCATTTTAGGTTCGGTTATCTTCGGGTTCGATCAACAAAATCTTTGTTCAAAATCCAGTATTTTCGGATCGGGCCTTAGGCCAAAATTAGGTGTGATCAATTTTTGCTAGGTGTAGGCACATAAATATTAGCAAGTAGAAAAATTTAATGATATTCTTTATACCCCAAGTGCTTCAACCAATGAAGAGAAATGAAAACCAATACAATATTTCTCATGTACAACTTACCCAATCCATAGTGATTTGATTTATAGATACCAGAGAGGCCCCCAATACGAATATTACCAAACTTGATTACTCCAGCATATCCAAGGAAGTATATTTGAGGTGCTGCCCAACCTCCATAATATCTGTGACCAAAGAACAATATTTCATGGGATAAGTCTAGATGGAAACAAAGGAAAGAACTAAAGGTTTCACTAAAAGTCAATGGAGTGGGAGATAAGTGAATAATGCAAACGCAGATTAAATTTCCTTAAGATACATGAAACTGCCTTCACAAAATGACTCATGTTTATAAAGGCAAGTAGCGTAAACTACACGACATCAATCTAACTAGAGCATTCATACGCTTTCTATCCAGTCTAAAATCATATTACAAGTTACAGCATCACCTAAACATATATTATGGCAACAATGGAACTGGTTTGCACTAAATACATCATTACAGTATTATACATCTCCAAAGACCGAAATGAGTCATACATGTGAACACTTTTTCTTCCCTACTAACAATAAATAAAGGAATACTTTTTATCTTTTTTTTTTTTGCAAAATAAATAGAAACTTGAATGCTATTTACATTTTACTTTAGAAGAAGAAGACATAAAATCAATCATAAGCAAAAATGTAAATCAGAACAGGCTACATAAGTGCAAAGTGCAAAAAAAAGTCAACTCACAGCTCCCACATGTAATTGGAAGCTTCGTGATTGCCTCCTATGAAAATAGTAGGGAATGGTGCTACTTTTTCTCCTGAGTAATACTTCCAGAAAGAGTTCATGGTTCTGTACTTGTGTGGCACATTTAAACTTTCAAGATCCTTCTTGTTTCTAACAGCCTGCTTGTGCATAGAATATGCTTCGTGTTAAAATTTAATCTCGAATTTCCCAAAATCTAGTTTCATACATAAGTAGCACGAACCCATAAGCACGTGCGTATTAAAGAAAAGCTTTTTTGAATACCCCCACTCTGCCCTGTACAGATAAACTTAACAGAGGCAAGATGCATGCTGATTAAGTAAAAACATGGAAACCACAAACATTAGTTCATTATTCTTAGTTTCTTACCCACCGGCATATGCTTTATGATATGAATAGTAAGCATTTCCCTACTAAGAATGAACTGGGCAAGATTCAAGTTTACATAGAACACCCAAAAATGAGATTTTAAAGTGCTGTTATAGTTCTAGTTCTGCTATAATAATTAGCATTAAGAAATAAGAAGTGCTTTTTAATCTGAACTCAAGCACGTTATCGCCAATTAGCCATGTCAAGCTAGAATGCTAGATTAAAGAACATTTTTCCTGTAACTATTCTGACTAGTTTTTATTATCCAGACTTATGTTGTTAAGAGAAGTTAACTTTGAAATAGAAATGATGCCTTGAAATTGTATATAATGTAAGCTCTATACGAGCCCATCATCAAATGACACATATTTAGAGCACAACTTCACAGAAAATGAAGAGCCCCAGTACCATGTACTTGATCTCATTTTGCTTTAACACTGGCAAAAATTCTGTGCTCAAATTCATTATGATTGACCAATGCAAAGAATCAAGTAATATGCTATTTAAAGGAAGCATGGAAGATATCCAATGAATCCACCAATCAGTACCTGAAAGTCACCACAACATATCAGAAGATCAATCTTTATTTTCTCCACATCTTGTAAGTGTAATAAGGTAGCATAGACATTGTCTAGGTCTCCATGCATACATCCTTCTACTGCAATCTTCATCTTTATGAAAATGCTGCTATTAAAAAGGCTAAGAAAATGTGTTCAAGTGAAAATTCAAGACAAAAAAGAATGTTGGTAGTATTACATGAAAACATCAGTAAGCTGCGACGCAAAGCTAGGAAAGAGGGTCAGGTAAGCCCTGGAACTATTTGCAATAGTACAATTCAACCCTCCAAACTCCGAAGTCCAAAAGGCTTAAATCAGCTTCAGAAGTTGTCAAATATGCAGTAGCACTTCCTCTACCCAAAATTATCATATGCATGTTCTCTTTGGTGTGTCCCAATTTATCATGAACATTTCCATTATACTCCCTCATTCCCACACTCCCACTATTTTTGGGTCATGAGGGAGTGGTATGATATTTTCCATCATGTCCGATGGAGCCATAGATTCACTATTTTTTGGCTTTGGAGTATGATGGAACAAAGCAAAATGGCTCTTTAAACTATTTGTGCTTCTTTTGATGGTGAAGTAGTAGTTAGTTAATGCAACTCTCGATGCTCGTCATATGTCATCTAGAAACAACAGCTCAATGTCTTAAACACAATTTCATGGCGTATTGCGTAAGCCTTGAGGCGTTTTGAGGCGTAAGCATCAATTTTTAAATTGAAAAATATTCACAAAACAATTTAAAACCATAGATAGAACATAATGTATAAAAAAAATCATCTGATCCAACTACTTGAAAAAATACCAATCATAAACTCATAAAAAACATAATTGAATGCTAGTCTACTTCACAAAAAGATTACCAAAAAAAAGAAAAAGAAAAAATAGCACCACTTGACAATTGTAAAAAGAGAAAAAGGCATGAGTTGGACAGCTGTAAAAAGCAGATAAAACGCAGCACCACCCATCATCCATTATCCTTTGCATGTGCTGGAAAGAAAGAGCAGAGACGCAGGAAAAAAAACATACCTTCGCCGGAGAAGAAGATTGAAGACAACCGACGCTAGAGACGGTTCGTAGCTGGCAGAAAGGTAATCGACAAAGGCAATTAGGGTAATCGACACTGGACAAAGGTAATTTTAACATATATACACTTAATTGGGTTAATTAATTGGAGTAATTGACAAGTTTAACCTTTAATATCCAAAATTTTAATCGTTTAATTTCCTAAATTCTAATAGTTGAATTGCGTAAGCCTCAATGCGCGCAATTCTCCCGCTCAGAGAATTGCATAAAAAAGCCTATGGCGTGAAATCGGGATTAGCACCAGTGCGTAATTTCCGAAAAAAGTTTCAAGGCGCGCCTTGAGGCGGGTTTGCGTTCCGCCTTTTCGAACATTGCTTAAACATAGCCGACCCCCCTTACCCCGCAATGAGCGAGAGCCTTTGAGGCACTGGGGTGATGCCGTAATGTTGTTGTATTGAGGGAGTGGCACGAGATTAAGAATAGTAAGATTGTGTGGAGTATATTGATATTAAAGAGTAGAAAAAATAAGATGAACTAAAATTGAATGTGAGCCACACAAAAATGACCTAAATGGTATGGGACAAAAATAGTGGGACGGACAAAAAAAGGTAAAAGCAGTCAAAATAGTGGGTTAGATGGAGTAGAAATTATCAAGTGGTCCATTATATTCCTCTGTACTCTCCATAAATTTCAACCACACAATTTTCACTTTACTTATCTCTACGAGTTTGTGGCTCAAAAGGCAAACGGACTAAAACACACTAGACATAAAACATATTCACACTAATGAAGCTAGATGAATAGATAATGAGATATACTCCCTCCGTTCCTAAAAGATTGTCACAGTTTGACTTTTTTGGTCAAACTGTGACATCCTTTGACCATGAATTATGGAAAAGGTAAATTTAGTTATAATGTAAATTTAGTAAATTTGGGTTTATTTTAAAATATAGTTTTGAAATATCAAATTTTTTATAATATTTGATTATTTTAAGCTATATTTAATTCTTGGTCAAAAGATGCCACAATTTGACCAAAAAAGTCAAAGTGTGACAATCTTTTAGGGATGGAGGAAGTACTAAACTATGAAGGCAAGGGTTAGAGTTAACAATTTAAAGTGCTGCCACACTTTTTGTTTGTTGACCAATTAGTAAAGCTAATTTATTAAAAGAAAGGTGTTTTTTTCTAGACATGATGCCAAAATTTGTTAGGCATATCGTAGTGTCCACAAATTCAACTTTATTTCATAACCCTTTTTAACTTAGAGCTTGTTCTCTTCAACTTATTCTTATTACCTATTACTTATTTTTATTGGAATCGGACGGAATGACTACAAGTCTACAACTACTATCAAATCAGACTATATCACATACCTCAATAAAATTAGATTGGACGAAGAGAACAAACTCTTAATACTTTTAAAATATAAAGCGCTTAATACTCTTAAAATATAAAGCCAGAGTAAGTAACATTATGTTTGATTTAAGGAATTTGAAGGAAAAAGAAAAGAAAATAAGATGGAAAACACTTTTTCATGTTTGGCTAGAGAGGAAAAAGAAGAGAAAAGTATAAGCAAAAGAAAATGTACGAAGAGAAGGGAAAACTAAATTCTTCCGAGTTTGGTGAAGAAAATGAGAGAAAACTATTTTCTTTTCTTTTCCTTCCAAATTCCATTAACCAAACATAGTGTAAGGGTTGATTCCACAACAAAAAATATTAGTTTTATATTAACTCAGTTTATTTATTGTCACTTTTATGTAATAAATTAAATTAAACATATTGTTTACATTTATAATTAAACTATAAGGTCATATTAACTTTAGAAAAGTAAATATTACATGAGGGGCGTTCTTTTGACACTCATATTTGCTATCATAATATGACAATTCAGATACTCACAATTGTATCTATATGATTTCAGACCAACATTTCCAATTCATTCTCTTTTTTTAAAAAATTTCATACTATGTTTGTGATACCTCCATTAGCCCTTACATATCTTCCACTTCATATCTCATCAAAACGACAACGGTGAAGGACTTGTGACCCTCACAACAAATGATGCCGCACCAACACAACCCACAACTAACGAGCCACTGGCAACCTACGGATACGACTAACCGTGACCAGAGATGAAAAAACGGCACATGGAGATAGGTAATTTATATTTCTGATTGGATCCAAACCAGCTAATTTATGATTGTTCTTAGTGAAGTTAAAGTTTATCAGTGACTTTCCAGAGTCTAAATTTACTAGTCCTTAATCCTTGGTATGAAATGCATTACAGTAGAGTTTGAAAACTATGAATTCATTTGAATTATTGGGTTTCAGTTCTAAAAATTGAAATCCCATAACTCAATTTTCATTCCAGCATTTGGGAAACACATGGAATTCAATCTCTAATGGCGATGGCGTAGAGGAAGAGAGAGGGAAAGGGCTATGGCGAGAGAACGGAATGAAATCGTCTGAGGAGAAGGAAGGAACTTGGCCCTAACCCATAGAGAGGGGGTCGGAAATTCAAATTACAAGGAGAGTAAGGGGAGTGAATGGATTTTTAATTGGGCTTTGTTGGGAATTAGAGGAATTTGACCCAAATCCAAATATTTTGGATTCACAAACATGTAATTTGGGTCAAATCTAGAATTGAAATCCAAATTTAAGTTCAACAATGTTGAAATGCAATGCTATTTTTTTGTGTATTTCCAAGAGGACCTTCATTTGACGCTTTCATTGGTCTTTAAAATGATTGGCAACCAAAAACATCTCTACTTCAAGAGTACACAGCAGTCATGTTCAAGATAGGTTCGCCGGTCAAATCCAGCACCATGTCAGAAGAATTCACAAAAAAACACCATTACACATCAATAAAAATATAAACTGTTTCAGCAACAACAAAATTTAGAGCAATACAAGCATGCAAAAAGGTGTCTAGTGGGTATAAAAATGCAGTAAGTACGACCAAGTAACAATACCAATCATAAAAAACAGTATTAAAATTCCGGCATGCCGAGAACAGCGTGGAGAGTGTTGAGTAAAATTAACCACTTACATATAAAGTCGGATCTACTTTCTAACCCAAAAGCTAAGCTGATAGGTAGAGCTTCACCCTTCTATATATGCTAGTGGTATTTCATTACTTTTTTTGATGTAGGAACTCCAACCTTTTCCTCAAGTGGTAATTAGTTTGACCTAGTTAACACTTGGACAAACGGATCTAACATCTCAATCTCTTATAAGTTATAACTAGCTCAAAAAACGGGCGGTGACATCTCAATCTCTTGTAGCCATCCAAATAACCAGGAAGAATCGAACCTGAACCGACTCGCTCTGATACCATATTAAAATTCCGGCGGGCCGAGAACAACATGTAGAGTGTCGGGTAAAATTACTCACTTGTATGTAAGGTCGGGATCCACTGTCTAACCCAAAAATTTAAGCTAATAGATAGAGCTTAGTGGTATATCATTACTTTTTAAGATGTGGGAACTCCAAAATATAGAGTAAAAAGATATTAGAATACCAATCTTATTAGATTTCTCAAATCCTTATTGCAAACCCAACAAAGCATCCGAATCAACTGGATTTCTTAATCTTATTGCACAGCCAATCACACCCAGAAACATCGGAATTCAACATGTTCAGTATGTGAATCGGAAATTACCTGGTCAGCTTCGTGGGTTGTCGCCGGTATATGCGTGGGCTGCCACCGATATCTGTGTGGGTCGTCCCCGGTATCTGTGTTGGTCGTCGCCGGTTTTGCGACGACCGTTGTCCGTCTCAACCGGTGCTTGCCCGTGCTTCGTCGTTGTAGTCCGGGAGAGCGGAAGCTGCAGAGATGTTAAGGGAAGTGTAAAAATAGATAAAATTCAAATGACTATTTTACCCCCGACCAATATAATCATTATAAATCCAAAAAAAAATTAAATTGAAAAAATAATACTCAATAACTATGTCTTTTACAAATTAGTCCAAAAATGAACTTATTATTGAGATGGTACTCGTTATTTAAAAATAAAACTCAATTTAGTCTCGACTAACGGTCTTCAAAATGACGTTAAAATTTATACTAATTTCTCAAAATGATTATTCTTGATTAGGTGTTTTCTCAAATTGGTCCATTTTGAAAATAAAATATGGAAAAATATTTTTAAATACTATAAGATGAGAATATAATAAATAAATTTTAAATATAATTTTATAATTTGAAAGTAAACGTTTTGGATTATTTGCAATGATTTAGAAAAATATCATGTAAATAAATATACATAAACATTATCTATTTGTTTTTATAGTTTTGAAAAAACTTAAACCAACGCAGAAGTTTTATTTTAAAATGGATGTAACCTTTATTTAATATTTTATTTACATGGTATTATTCTAAATAATATTAAACAATTTGAAACGTTCATTTTTAAATTATTGAATTATATTTATAGTATTATTTTTATTATATTCTCATCCTATAAAATTTTAAAATATTTTTTCATATTTAATGAGTTTTTTTTCGAAAGTGAACTAATTTGGAATAACACTCAATTAGAAAGAATCTAAAGAATGGCGAAAACGACGAACTCGGCAACGGAGCAGCAGCTGGTTTCTCTTATCCGATAATAGACAGTCACTACAAAAAAACGTGTTATTGGCACGGACTTTGGCACGGACGCTAATTTTAATTTTCCGTAGCAATAGCGTTAGGCACGGAATTTCATACGGATGAAAAGACCTGCCAATTTCCAAGCTCTAAAACTTATGGCATGGATTTCCTGTCTGTGCCATAGAAAGGCACGGAATTACCCGTGCCGACACCATTCCAAACTCACGGTTTGAAGGAAAACGTAAATGTTTATAGGCACGAATGTCGTCGTGCCAAACGAGTGTTCTTACCATTCCGTGCCTTTTAAAATTTTCAAAATTTGAAAATTTATTTTTTGAAATAATAAATATTGGCCCCTTTGTCATGGAACTATTCATGCCTAATTTTTTAAAAATAGAAAAATTAAAATTTTAATTTGGCAATTTTGTAAAATTTAACAATAAAAGCATCTAATATTCACACCATAATAACAAAACTAATTAAATTTAAAATAAAATGTCAAATAATATTCATCACATCCAAAAAATAATAAATGTTCATACCACATTCATCTCACAAATAAAAACGAAAGTTACAAATTATCATGATTTAAATAACTTTTAACATCACAGTTATTAGAATTATGTCGTTGAGATGAATTTTGGGCTTGCACTTCGAATTCATGGGTGTCCGAACTTGAGGCGAATACATGCCTTGGATCAGAAAATTGACTGAATTCTTCCATCCCTGAAATTGAGTTAACAATTCTCCTTGCATACAGTTTTTCTACAAAAAAGAGTAAAAACAATTTAAACTTTATTAAAGATGAAAGTTAATAATTTAGAGTAAGGGAATAATAAAAAATTTACCTTCTTCAGAAACAACCGGTTGACGACCTTGAAAAATTGGGCGTGTCATCCTCCTCCTCTTCCTATTAAAGAAAATTAAATTAAATTATTCACATAAATTAAAAAAAATGAATTAAATTATGCCTGATTGCTGGCTGAACGAAAAAAATTGGAAAAATAAAGTAATTAATTTTTGAAAAATAAAATCGAAAGAAAAAAATAAATATTGTAAAAAAATTACCCCTTCAGATCGGACTTGGTGATGAACCGTGGGTGCTCGGCGTTTGACACAGCGCTCTCTTCTATGTGAGGAACCGCCGTTTCTTCTCCTCGCCCATCGCCTCCACCCTCAACCATCTCCTCACCCTCACCTTACTTTTTGAAAAAGGATTGCGGGGTAACCGCCGGCGATGGAGATTCTAACGACCCTCTAGATAGCGAACGGCGGAAGCTACCCCACTCCGGACATGGATACTCCACCGAAAAGAAGTGTTTCTTGAAGAAGACATTATTAGGAAGGGAAAAGAGATGGCTGAGGACAGGCTCGGGTAAGGGCGGAGGAGAATAGCGGCGGCGTTGGAGGAGAATGGGGAAGGGTTGGGGAGTTTGTGAAAAAATGAGACTGATGGAATGAAAGGGTGTTAATATTCTTTAACTTAGGCACGGATTTTGGCACGGGCTCCATTCGTGCCTATAGCGCACCCTGACACACTTTAATAAGACGCGTTATAGGCACAGATATATCCGTGCCTACGTCCGTAACTTATGCGCATCATAATTAATGCGGGCAATGGCAGGGTTATAGGCACGGAAATTTCCGTGCCTACGTAAAGCTCGTCAATGGCTTTGTTACAGAAGGTTCTAGTATCGACCGTAGGCACGGATAATTTCGTGCCTATGTTTTGGACTTGACACCGTCGAGTGAAGCTGGTGACGGTTTTAGAATTACGGTGTTGGCACGGACTTAGGCACGGAAAAGCCAGAGCCAACGCCCTTCAGTGAAGGCACGGAACGTCCGTGCCTATATTTCCGTGCCAATTTCGCGGTTTTTTTGTAGTGAGTGATCACAGCGGCGTGCCAAGTGCTCCGTGTGGAGAAAGCTTCGTCGGTTACAGTCTCTCTCCTCGATAATACTCCGTAAGTATTCGCCGCTCCCGTACGCAATACTCCGCATGTATATACTCCCTCCGTCCCATGAAACATGTGACTTTTGCTTTTTAGGAGGGATTTAAAGGGAGTGTATTTTGATATTGAATTTCCAAAAATGTCCTTTGATGTGATGGGTAAAAGAATGATTTGATGGATAGATTATTAGAAAAAGGTATAATGTGATAGTTAGGGTATGAAAAAGTAAGGGGTAAAAGTGACTTTTTAATAGAAATGAGAAGTGTTTTGTGGGACGGATAAAAAAAAGAAAGGAGAAAGGTTTCATGGGACGGAGGGAGTATAAGATTTCATAATAGTAAGGGGGGTTGGGTCAACTAATACGAGTAGTAGTAGGTTTATTTAGTTTTAAGAAATCTTATACATTTAATATTATTTAATTATAAAATCTTTATATTTACTCCCTCCGTTCCATATCTATCTTCTCAGAGTACTATCCCAACTTCATGGGAATTTTTGTTTATATACATTTTTTTCATTGCGTATATGATAGAATAACATATTCTTGTCACCACTTGTTTTATTAAACTTTTGATAGAGTTTTTAAATATGTAAATTTTATTTTTTATTTATATACCAATATTTAAATAAAATTGATTAAAAAAACTTAGAGGTGTTTCTTCGTTTTGCGCAACAGGAAGAAAGATATGGGACCGATGGAGTAATTATTAAGTTGTAACATCTATTTTGCGCATAACTTTATATACGTAAAAGTTAAAACCAAACTTAATATATCATATGCCGTTGGTCATCTTTTCATGATATTTATCCAACGACCCAATTTTTAAGTAAGAGGTTGACCTTATAAATAGTTCATATTTTTGAGTCAAAAAAAGAGAGAAAGACCAAAGCAGGACTAAAACAAAGAATATATATCAAAATATGACTTTCATGTTTTTATTCCCGAAATAGGACTTACATTACCAAACATGGTCATGTATATTACTAAAAAAGTATGGTAATGCATGTGCTGTACCACATTACCACAATGCAAAGTCCTATTTCAGGAGAAAAAAAACATGAAAGTCCTATTTTAGTACTTTTCTCTATGTTTTAGTCCTATTTAAGGTGATTTTTATCAGAAAAATAAAATAAAATTTATCTGGTTTCATGGTGTTACAGCTCCAATTCGATTCCCATTTTGAAGTTATCTATTTCTAATTTGTAGTTGGACGGAAATCTGATTAATACAGATTGAGGGTCCGTTTGGTATACGGAATTGGAATTGAATTGGAATTGAAATTCCATGGGATTCAATTGATCAATTCCATAAAATTGACTTCTACTCATTCCAATTCATTTTTAACACTATGAATTCCAAATCTACATAATTTTTGTGCTACCAAACACCAAAATTGGAATTGAATTCCTCAATTCCAATTCCATAATTTAAATTTTGTGTACCAAATGGGGCCTGAGCGTTCTAGAACGTTTTTCATTTTCAAAGGATTTTCATTTTACTTTTTCGTTTGAAAAATTGTTATACAATGTACGTATATTTTACTACATGCTGTTTTTTATATATTTCAATATTGTATTTCATCCTAAACAATTTAAAGTTGTTTTTTTAAGTTTTAAAGTTAAAATTGAAATTTAGATAATAACATTTAAAATTTAAAATTTCATATATATATACTAAAAATTAAATTTTATAATTTTATCTTAAAAATTTAAAATTAAAAATATCATAACTTAGAAGATTAGAACTTTAAATTTAAAATTTAGTACCAACTATGAGTAGAATTCCAACATGTAAAATGACACATAAATGAATGATAATGAATTTATTTACTATGAATAAAAATTGTCACACTCACTCTCATAATAAATTTTGTCACGCTCACTCTCCTTTATGCAGTTGAAACAGGATACATCTTAGTATAGAAATATATAAAGTGAATTATGCACATGATCATAACATCATTTGGAATAATTATGTAAAAACACAATCTTATTAATTACATTCTTCCTAGATTTATCCTCTCCCTGCTCACCACATTTTCAACTTCAGCATGGATCGCACCCGTGCAGAATAATTGTGTTCCACTCAAAATTATTAAAATTATCTCCAATGTCCTCTGCAAACATTCCAATATAGTAAGAAGTGGTTGTTAAGAAATTACATTTCGAGAGCGTAATTAAAAAGAAAGGATAAGACATAAATTTTGGTACTCCATATAAATACTACCTCTATCTATCCTTGTCCAGTTTTGACTTTTTACAGTTAAAATTGATAAACTTTGATTTCTAATTAAATTAATTAATATTAGATATTGATACAAAAAATAATTCTATTATAGTAGTTGTTTTATGTAGTATTTTTAAAATATTGTTTATCTAATCAATATATCTTAAAAATTTTATTTATTATAGATCAAAAATAAAAAATAATTGATTGAAAAAAATTGAAACTAGACAAATAAGTAAATTAATGGATACTCCGCAAATTAAAGAAGATTGAGAAGGATGTGTAGGCAAGTAGAGCTTACCAAATTTGAATCAGTCCACCCTAAGCTTATTTCTTTACAAGCGACTCTGCAAAAGTAGTATAATTGTATTAAAAGTCCTGCTTGACAAATACTACGAATAAGAGGTAGAAAACCCATCCCCGAAGTCACTCAGAATTGCATCCGTTGTCAGGAATCGAGCCCGAGTTTATCCTTTTTGGCACACCTTACTCAACCAAATGAGCCATGCCCAAATTATTTGCATTAGCCTATTCCCCGGTCTCAAATTATTCGTCTCACATTTCATTTTAGTTTGTCCCAAATTAATTGTAGTCTCATTACTTTTCTTTTTTAATCTGCCTAAAAAATGTCTCATATTTTTTCTAATAAAGTAAAAAAAAGTGGTCTACAATTATTTTTTCCTGTATTGAAATTTTAACAACTCATTTTATAAAAAATATATAATCAACACTTTTCTTAAACTCCGTGAAGGTAAATAGGACGATTATTTTGGTTGGAGGGAGCATTTGATTAGTAGATTATATTGGCATAAAAAAATTGTAAAAAGAGATTTGATAATTTATTGAACTAATAATTAAAAACAAAATACTAACACTAAAATGGTGTTTTCAAAAATGACAATTATATCAAGGTAGCATATTGGCATTTCAAAATGCCAAATTACTCGAATACAAATTTGGCTGACTAGTCAAAAATGCACTTTAATTTTAGGTCAAAATGGTGAAAAAAAGAACATTTTGAATAGTAAAAGATATAATGGAGTATCTATACCATACATCCCGTTTTACGGTCTTTCCAATATATCGATCCCATTAATACTCATTGAAGGGTAACTAAGTACGGAGTATTTATTTTCAAGTAACTGAATACTTATTTTCGAGTATAACTGAATTTTAGAGAAATAATGATTATTCAGTTACTCGAGAATGAGGGTTCACTTTCTCAAAAATGGGCATTCAATTACTCCTAAATGAACGTTCTCTGTGAATGTACGGAAAACACCGTAGAACCGATTGTACGGTATGATATAATGCACTTTTAGGTGGAAATTAAATAGAGAGAAATTAAAGTAGGTAGGCCTACTAGTAGCTAGCTAGGAATAAGGTACAATACCCCATAGCAAGGAGGGTGAGAAGCCAAGAAACAAGGGAAGAAGCAGCAGCCGAATGGAGGTTGGGTGAGTCCCATTGAGCACCGGTTAGATTGAGAAACGCGGCGACGGAGGTTATGAAGCCCACCACGCCAGCTATGAGTGAGTATATGACCACAAACCCTGTCGCCATGTTCCCAAATGGGAAATAGATTGGGAATATTTTTGCTGGCATTGACATTACTGATGCTGCACAACATATATGCATGCCACAAACGCAACTATATGATAATTCGAAACACTAAAATAAAGTAAAATTTGCACTTAATAAGACTAAAACATAATAGGACTTAAACTTTTTTATTCCCTAAATAGAATTTAATAATGTCTAGCGAGAAAAATAATGTTCAAGTGATGCTGGACATTTAGTTGAATAATGACTAATAGATAATGACCAATGGTCCTACATTAAGAAATAAAAACACATGGTCCTACATTAAAAAAGTCATTATGTTTTAGTCCTATTTAGGTAAATTACCCTAAAATAAAAGTAAAATGTATATTTATGAACTAAAATAAGATTATTTTCATACTCCCTCCGTCCCATAAAGTCATTCCCATTTCAAAAAAACTGTGTTCCTTAAAGTCATTTCAATTTCAATTAAAAAACCACTTTTGCCTCTTACTTTTTCATACCCTACCTATCACATTATACTTTTTTCCTAATAATCTACACATCACATCAAGGGTATTTTTGGAAAGTCAACACAAAATTATCCTTCCTTATTTTACCACTTTAGTCAAACGTACCGTCCCTATCTTTATGGGATGGAGGGAGTATATTTTTATTCCAAAATATGATCTATAATGCTAACATACACTCCCTCCGTCCCAAAACGATTGTCACAGTTTGAAATTTTCGATCAAAGTGTGGCACCCTTTTATTGCAAATTATGAAAATTTAATAAAATTGAGTTTGTTTTATACTATAGTTTTTAAATATAAAATGTTTATAATATTTAATTATTTTAAACTATATTTAATTCGTGGTCAAAAAGTGCCACAGTTTGATAAAAAAGTCAAACTGTGATAATCTTTTTCGGACGGAGGGAGTATAATACCAAAGAAAACATCGAAATAACAATATACAATGTCATCTTATCATAGTGCAATAGTCACATATTGGAATAAAAAATTTTACTCATATTTTGGGAATAAGTACCTATGTTTACTCTTTTCATCCGTACGTCCCAAAAAGATGACTCATTTTGGCTTTTAAGAAATTTGAAGGATAGGTGTTTTTGTATTAGCTTTCCACAAAATTTGTTGTGATGTGTAAAAGTAGAATGTGATATGTAGATTACTTATAAAAAGATATGATGTGAGGGTTAAGAAATAATTGTGGCAAAAATAGTTTTTTAATAGAAATAAAAAGAATTTTGTGGGGCGAGTAAATAAAGAAAGATGAAGAAGTTTTTGAGACTCATGAACCATTATTTAATTAAAAAGAAAGTAATTAAAATACCTGTGCGGTAGGATCTGGCAATCCCATGGTTAACAGCCCAGGAAGCAATTACAATAACAATGAAATACAGTATGGCGTTGGCAATCAAAAGAACACTTGAAGCAGTTTTGGTTGAAGCCATGGCCGCCCGCCCCCCCAAATATATATATATAATTCAGTTTATATTTTTTCAATAAACTCGATGGGACAATGGGAAATATAATTTACTTCAATGTTTCAAACACATACAGCATGCACACATTAATTGTTGTTATTGACGTTTTAATTAATGTGAATGAAGAGATGGACAAGGCACGTAATATAATTAAGGTAGCTAGCTAGCTAGGGTCTAGGGAGTATATATATTCTTTGCATGCATGCACAGAAAGCATATATGCCTTGGGCTTGTTTCTAGTCTAGTCCATATATATATATGTAATCCTACATACTTTGCTTTTTCTGGTCATCGGATCTTTATATATCTTTGATTGTATTCCAAGCAATGTTGGATGAAAGAATATAACCAATCACCAAGATTTATATGTAAAGCTTGAATTTTTTTTTGTTACTAGAGTCGGTTTGTACGTGCCCGGGATAAATTTGCAAGCTTGAATTTTCCCTAGTGATGATGTAGGGATAGAATTTCTAACCGGCCCAATGGATACATTTTAGCAAATCCGCGTTTTGGATGGGGGAGAGCCGGTGAGGGCAAGGGGATTTTGAGAAGTTGGAATCATCAATTTTTCAAACGAAGCACAGTAGACTAGCTATTGTTGTCATAATATGACAACAATGGTTGTTGTTATAATTTATTATTTTTGTTGAATATGATTTTCACTCAAGGAATAATTGGGTACACAGTGGTTTATATACGAGGAGATTAATATCAATTAGGAATTTTCTAATGCTAAAATACTACTCCTACCATAAGTACATATATTTCCATAACTGTCTAACATACCCTCTCAAGCTGAACGCCGTGAAACGAGAGAAAGCATGGAAAACAAAGATGAATATTGCGGTGATGACAGTGCTTTTGTTAAAAGATCCGCAAGCTGCTCGGTGGAGGGAACATATAAAACAGTCATCTGTTCTGTGATTACCTGTTCCCGGACAAAGTGGCAATCTGTACCCACATGTTTCATTCGCTTGTGGAAAACTGGATTCTTTGTTAGACAGAGAGCTGACTGATTATCAAAAAGAAGATGTGGAGGAGGAAGCTTTGTTTTTAAGATATCAAATAAGTAGGAGAGCCACATCACTTCCGCCGCTGCCGCCGAGAGAGCTCATTATTCGGCCTCTGTCGAAGACCTCGACACGCGACTCTATTTCTCCGTACTCCAAGAAATCAGATTGGGGCCAGAATATATCAAGTAATCTATAATAAAGCGTCCGTCTTTCATATCATTTGCCCAATTAGAGTCTGAATATGCTTGTATGCATTGTGGTCGACGCCGAAACAGCAACCCTTGATCAATTATGCCTTTTATATATCATAAAATGTGTTTCAAGGACTGAAAATCCTACTTAGTGGGTGCATGCATCCGTTGGCAAACATAATTCGGAGCAAATTAGATATCTGGCCTGGTGTTTGTTACATATTGTGGTTAGCCAACTAAGCTCCAGAAGAATGTGGGACTCTCAAATGGCCGGCTCTCCCACTCCTCGGTCGACCAAACTGGTAGAGGTGTCAGGGACGTCTTGCAATCTTCAACATCGGATTTATGAAGCAATTCCATCTCGTGCATATTTTTCTTGAGATAACAGCAGGAAGTCTTTGATGTGTTTTACCTCAAGTCCTAGAAAGTAATGAAGTGGACCAAGATTCTTCATTTGAAACTCTTGTTGCATAGCCTGGATGAAGGAAAAGATAAGAGACGAAGCACTACTAGCAACAATGATGTTGCCAAGATAGAGCAGAATAATAAGAACACAGAAAGAAGAGTGATGAACAAAAGAGCTAGTGCCATGTTCATTCTTTCCAAAAACATAGTCAAGGAGGAAGCCTGAAAGTCGCTAGTACCAGGCCCTGGGTGCCTGTTCAGGCCATAAAGGGACTTCTTTAATTTGCATACATGATGTGGATATTTCTGATCAACATAACCAAGAGGCTGCTTCATATAGATCTCATCAGGAACCACGCCATGAAGAAAAGCATTAGAGATGTCCAACTGATGCAAAGACCAATTGTGATTGACTGCCAAAGAAAGAACCACCCGAATGGTCTGCTATTTCACCATTGGGTTGAAGGTCTCAGAGTAGTTCAAGCCATATTCTTGTGTATATCCATTTTCCACAAGACGTACATTATACCTGGAAAAAGATCTGTCACAATTATGTTTAATTTTGTTCATTCACTTGAAACCAATAGGAACACGAACTGAGGGCACCGGAAAAACATCCCAAGTGTGCTGATACAACAAGGCAGAATATTCTTCATCCATAACTTGACATTAACTATTTTGGGAGGCTTCCTCAAAGGTGACATGTTCAGTTTCAGGTGGGATAAAGGTTGAAATGGATGTGGAATAGAGTTTGGGTTTGAAAATACCACTCCGAGCACGGGTGGTCATAGGGCAATGTATGGGCAGTGGGGGTGAAGTTGAGATAGGTGATGATTTGGGACTGTTCGTGAGGGGTGATAGGCTGCCAAATTGGATGGGTGTAAGGGTAGGGTTGGGTTGGTTCGGGCAGTGTGTCAGGTTGGGAATAGGGGTAGGTAGTTCCGGTGGGGTTGGGGAGGGAACGAGGCTGGGTGGGTTTGGACAGTGTTGCAGATAGGGGATAGGGGTTGGGTTGATGCGTGGGAGGGTACGGGTAGTGGGTGGGATAGGGTGTGGAGTCGGTTGGTGGGTGATGATGGTGGGGTGGGGGGTCTGGGTCCCTGTGAGCATTAGACGAGTCACATGACAAACTGACGAGAAAAGATGGGAAGGACACCAAGAAACAAGTGACGATGGGTTGACGAAGACACACTCGGGGATGACACGGTGGAGTATGGAATTTGGCTTTTTTGAAACTCAACATGACGAGAGATGTATAGACGGTTGGTGGACGGGTCAAAATAGTGATAACCTTTTGCGGAAGAATCATACCCAAGGAAGGCACAACGCTTGGAATGTGGTTGGAATTTGTTAGTGATTTCATGGAGAAGACACATATAGGCCAAACATCAAAATACCCGACGGAGAGTGTAATCTAGCCGGGTTTGAAAGAGAGCCCACAGGGTTTTTTTATTAAGAGACCGTTTGGGCATTCAGTTGATTAAAAAAATTGCAGTTGCTAAGGCTTCTACCCAAAATTTTACGGGAAGAGACGTGGTAGAAAGGAGTGGTAGAAGGGTTTCAACTAAGTGACGGTGTTTCCATTCAGCAACACAATTTTATTCGGGAGTGTATGGACAAGACTTTTGGTGGAGAATCCCCCAAACTTTGCAAGAACAACCCAAACTTTTTATTGACATATTCTCATCCATTATCAGTTCAAACAATTTTAATATGAGCATTGAACTGATTATGAACCATAAAATGAAAATTAAGAAAGGCATCAGACTTACTTTTAAGTGGATATAGCCAACAAAATTTTGTATAATCATTAATGAAATTAATGTAATAATTATAACCTCCAAAGGAAGGTACAGAGGTGGGTCCCCATACATCAGAATGAACGAGATCAAAAGGGGCAGATGCCTTAGTTTTAGACAAAGGAAATGGAAGTTTATGAGATTTAGCAAGAGAACAAGATTTACAATGATTAAGTTGTTGAAATTTAAAACCTAATTGAGACAATAGAGACTTAGTAACTAATATAGAGGGATGACCAACGCGGCAATGCCATTGATATGAAGTAGCTTTAACTGTGTTGACCACTGGAGACGAACTAGATGTTGGAAGTGAATACAAGCCACACTCACAGGGGCCCTTGAAAAGTACTTGGTTTGTTGTGTTGTCCCGAATCGTAAAATACTTAGATGTGAAGAGTAGAGAACAGTTATTATCTTTGGTAAATTGATGAACAGAGAGAACGTGAGAATTAATATTAGGGAAATGAAGAAGATTGGTTAATTGAAAAGTATGGTGTGGAATTGATTTGTTTCAGAAAATTTACCACAAGTAAAGAAATTCAACACTACTCTTGTTATCAACCCTCCTACAACTTTCCACCAGTTTTTAAAAAATCCACTACTAAAACCATCATGTCTAAGACTCTTACAATTTGGTATTCCAAATAGAGCTTCTTTCACCTATTCTCCTTTAACCTTTGTGAGAAGGTCCATTTGTTCAATACTTAACTTCCCTCTTTCAGTCATTGCCTTTTCATCCACATCTTCTGTGACTTCTAACTTGTCAACCAATTTTTTTTATAAAATTGTACCATAATCTCTGTTACCTCTCTATCCCCTTCTATCAGAATTCCATCTTTGTTTTTAAGAGGAAAAATGTCATTCTGAATTCTTTTTTTCTTTATCCAAGAGAAAAACAATTTAGAATTTAGGGCCCCCTCAGTGATCCAGTCCCTTTTACTCATCTACTTGATCATCATAGTTGTAGAATTCAGGTCATGGTCTAATTGATGAATAAGTTTCCCTTCTTCCTCATTAATCTTGCCCTCACAGGGTGTCTGATAAGTCGATTTTGGGTTAGAACTTTTTTATTCTTTTTTAGGCATTTTTAATATTTTTAGAGACTTAATTTCAAAAAAATTATGGTTGGTGTTTTTTGGGTTTATGTTTTTTTGAACTATATTAAATCCCTTATGAATGAAAATGAATTCATTATAGGATAAGAAAGGATGAGAAAGAAAATGCAATTTTTTAAAAAAAATGTATACGCGGCATCAATTCATCATTTCCATTCTATTGTGCTCGTATCCTAAAATCTACAAAGAGAACGCTAAGACCAAGTATTTAGCATTGAAGAACAACAAAATCAAATTTCAAATATGTATATTTTATTCTAATTTAGAACATATGAGCCGTGAAAAGTGCAAAATTTTCATTTTACACTAAAAAAACAAGCTTACAAGGTGCATATTTTTCAGTTTATAGCCCAGAAATCAGATTAAGAAGTGCATAGTTTTTCCATTAGTGCCCAAAAATCAGCTTTAAAAGTGCAAAATTTTTTAATTCTCAGCCCATAAATGATCAAATGTAAACACTCAAAGCTTAAGAAAATTGAAAGTTAATAGCATACCAACCAGGGGCGGACCCAGAACATTTATACCATGAGGTCGCAATTTAGAAAATTTATATATCCAACAATCATGCTTCTAACAATAAATAAACAATATTCTACAATACATAACATTAAAGTTTATATATATTATTGAAAATACTAATTAAAAATAGTTCTACATTGCAAATTTGAAATACATCTTACAAATGATAACGTCTAGTTTTCATATT